CTCATACAATACCACATGCTGGTAGATATTTGAATGATTATACTGTAGGCTGTCTGAGTCATCACTGAAATTGTAGGCGGAATTTTATGAATATTCAGTTCAGTTCAGTAACTCAGTCGTGTCTGACTCTGTGACCCCATAGACTGTAGCATGCCAGGCTTCCCTGTCCATCACCAACTCTTGGAGGTTGCTCAAACTCATGTCCATCAAGTCGGTGATGCCATCCAACCATCTCATCCTCTGTCGTCCCCTTCTCCTCCTGCCCTCAGTCTTTCTCAGCATCAGGGTCTTTTCAAATGAGTCAGTTCTTTGCATCAGGTGGCCAAAGTATTGGAGCTTAAGCTTCAGCATCAGTCCTTCCAATGAATATTAAGGACTGATTTCTTTTAGGATTGACTGGTTTGATCTCCTTGCAGTCCAGTAGACTCTCAAGAGTCCTCATTTCACAGCTTTCATTTAGATTCTCAAATGAATGCTTGAATGCTGTGGAGAGTCTGTGTGAGAGCCAAGGGGAAATTTGAAGGCTTGTATTTTTAACCTCTAATGCAAATAGAGTTTGAAAAAAGACATTATCGTTCCAGGCACGAGACCCCCTCGCCTATAAATGCAAAGATTGAATTAAGTCAGTGTTTTTATAAACTTTGTTCATGTACATAGTCATTTATGTACAATTGCCTTTGTGATTGTTGCTGTATCCTACCCTAATCTGTCCATGCTAAGTCATTTCAGTCGCGTCTTAGACTTTTCTGCCTAAGTCATTCAGTCTCTTTGCGACCCCATGGACTGTAGCCTGCCAGACCCCTCTGTCCATGGGATTCTCCAGGCAAGAATACTGAAGTGGGTTGTCATGCCCTTCTCCAGGGGATCTTCCCTACCCTGGAATCGAACTCGCATCTTTTATGTCTCCTGCATTGGCAAGTGGGTTCTTTACCACTAGTGCCACCAATCTGTACTATTTACTTAATTTTAAAAATTTTAACACTTAAAAAGTCATATAAAGAAACAAATATGAGTCAGTGGTTCAACTGAGGTAGGTGAGCGTAGAGCCTATTATACAAAATTTATCTTAAACCTCATTTTTGCATCTGTGAATGAAAAACTGTTATCACTTGATGTAAATACACTTATTCATGTGCTACATAAAAATTATTGTCTTGGGCTTTCCTGGTGGCTCAAATGGTAAAGAGTCTGCCCACAACATGTGAGACCCAGGTTTGATCCCTGGTTTGGGAAGATCCCTTGGAGAAGGGTATGGCAACCTAATCCAGTATTCTTGCCAGGAAATTCCCATTAACAGAGGAGCCTGGTGGGCTACAGTCCATGGAGTCTCAAAGAATCGGACATGACTGAGCAACTGATCCTTTCAGTTTCGCTTCTTTACACTGATGGCAGGCATGCCACATGTAAGACACATTGGTGTAATGCCAGGTATTGGTGTAATGGGTCTATTGTGTTTACCATCCCAGATTTATTCCCAACCCTTCTCCACCCAGAAGGGCCTAGAAGACCCTTCCGTGACTTAAGGCATTGTGGAGAGCTCTGTGGTTTTATCCTCTGTAGGGCAGATATGATGGCTTCCCCGGTGACTCAATGGTAAAATATCTGCCCCCCCGTTTGGGAGCCATAGGAAGCATGGATTCAATCCCTGGGTCAGGAGATGCCCTGGATAAGGGGATGGCAGTCCACTCCAGTATTCTTGCCTGGAGAATCCCATGGACAGAGGAACCTGGCGGACTACAGTCCATGTGGTTGCAAAGAGCTGGACACGACTGAATGACTTAGCAGCCACAGCAGCAGAGCAGGTATAATGATGGAGGCTGCTGCTTTGGAATATCAGTGGGAAATATAGGATTCTGAAATAATAGAGGCCAGGTCTCTCAGAGACAAGGAGGCTGCAATCACCACACTAAGTGACAAGATGGAATGGTAGTCAGGATGCTTTCACCAGCAGGGGTCTGTGGTGGTGACTAAAAGATCATAAGTCTCTGGAAAACAATCTATGGACATCCTGTTAAGGTGCTGCTTGGCATAAAAAGGTAAGTTTCCAGGTTCATTGAGCCTAGCTCAAGTCACCACAGTGGAATTCACATTCTCTTACCTACTTCCCAGACCTGGAGCCCCTTATCTGAGGGGAGACAAGGTCTCTGTGAGAAAGACCGTGTATGTATGTTATGGAAGTTTCCCTAGGTCTTCTCTGGAGAGACCAGAGGCAGTTTACGAAGGTGACTATATAGAGTGGAGTCGAGGAAGAGAAATACCCAGGCTTTCTGGAGGTTATTAGACAGTGGTTCTGAACCTGAAAAGCCTAACAGTTTGCCAATTAAAGCTTTGGAAGTCAGATAAGAGACAGAATTGGCCCACATCCATCTAATGGAGGGGGGGGGGGTTCAATGACTCTATCTTGTGGTTACTTCCCTAGACCCAGAATGTATAGTTAGAGGAGATATGCCTAGTGATTGACAAAATTCCACACTGATTCCTACACCAGTGGAATAAAATCTATAATGGTAGGACAGGCCAAGTGGAAGGAACCTCCTAGAAATGTACTGTTTCCTCCAATCCCCTTGACAAGATGGTAAGACCTGTAGGGAGAATGATAGCAATTAGTATCACCACTGAAGGCTTGAGAGAGAAAAGGAAGTGAAGATGACCTACCACATCCCTATTTAACTCAGTTGTTTGACTGATTCAAATGCTACATGGGTAATGGGGACACAGTGGATTATTGCGAAATCAATCAGGTGGTGATGCCAGTTGTAGCTTGAGTTCTAGATGTGGTAGCTTTATTGGAATGAATTAGTATAGCCATGGCATGTCATATGTGGTTATTTATCTGTCAGATACTTTCTTTCTATTCCAGTCAGTAAGAAAAATCAGAAGCAGTTTGCTTTTAAAGGGCAGGGACAATACAGAGTTAAACTGTCTTGCCCCAGGACTGTGTCACCTCTCTTCTAATCCATCATAAAATAGTCCTGAGGGTCCGTGATCATCTTCAAATCCCATTGGAAACCATGCTAGTCCATTCCATTGAAAATACAATGCCACAGATTTTGATTAGCATGAAGAATCAAGCCAGAAGGTGGAAGATAAATACTGGAAAAGTTTATGGGGTTTCTGACATTTCTAGAGGCCTAGGAGCATGGGACATGTCAAGATAGCTAAAGCGAAATGCAAATTGAGGCAGCTTGTGCCACTGGGCAAGATGAGAGAAGCGCAATGCTTTGGGATTTATTTTGTGTTTTGAGGACAACATATACTACATAGTGTATGGCTTGAAATGTGGCCAGTTTTGAGTGGGACTTGGGTCAAGAAAGGTGTTCATACAGTAGCATAAGCTTCTATGTTACATGTGCATTATGACTTATGACTCAGGGGCTCATGGAAGTATCTGAGGCTTTATGGGACCTCTGACAAGCCCTGACAGGAGAATAAGGGCATGGAACCTTAGGATTTTCTTTGTGAAAAGAAGTTCTTGCCTTGCTACTGGACCCTAATAGAACCAATGTGCTGACTTGGGGATGCCAAGTGATTATGCTATTTGAGTTACTCATCCTGAACTGGATGATTTATGATCCGTTGAACCATAAAACAGTATAAACAGAAGTAATCCATCATAAATGAAAATAATCAGGCTTTAGAAGACTCGAAGGTCTCAAGTAATTTGTGTAAGCAACAGGTTGAGACTTTCATATACTTCCTGTTTATAGCTTGATGCCTTTCCCTCAGTGCATACATCTGGTTTCACGGGGTGTTCTGAGTGACTAGAATAAGCAGATATCCAGGTTTGCCCTAGGTAGTACTGGTTTATACCTGTTGTCAGCATTATTCATCATTCATGACACCACTTTTCATTGTGAAAAGTGTCCTACTTTGGACAACCGGTTATGACTACCCTGTATATGATCAATCAATGGATGGGAAGGAATGTGTACCTGGCTTATGGATTTTTGTACTCTAGCATCAGCTGGAAGTGTACAGCTAATACGGCACAAGCCCACTAAGTGGACAGAACTCCAGATAGTATATCTGGTGTCTCCTTTGTGTGGAAGAACAAATGTTGATGTAGATCAATACTAACTCAGGGTCAACACCAGACTGGTCAGCTGCTCAGGGCGTCAGAAAGAACAAAACTGGACAATTACTGATAAGGATGTCTAGAAGGCAGGCTACTTAAATGGGCTATAGTAGGAAGATATTTATTTCTTATGTAAATGTCCAGTGGAGGGGAGTCAGAGTGGAGGGAATTCTCAGTAATGAGGATGGCTCCTCCTGTGGGGTATATTGAGCCCACCTTGGTGTTTGCTCACGGACTGGTGCTTGAAGTGACCGTGGTGGTAGGGTATCAACAACTTGGTATCCCCTTTGTCAAAGTTGATCTAACTATTAACACAATGAAGTGCCCACCTGCCAATAGCAGAGACCAACTTTGAGCCTGTTGTATGACAGTATTCATCACGGAAACCAGCATATGTGATCTTGTAAATGCTTGCTCTGAATTACAAAGAAGGACAAAAGGGGTAGGGTGTGGAGTGTGAATGGAAAAGCCCAATTTCGTCAGATAATGGGAATGTTCCATTTCTCCACTGTTACTGAAGCTGTTTTGTTAGGTTCTCCTTATGAAAAGGATCAGTAGGAAAAGAAGGAAACTACTATGATGTGGCAATTTTGTTTGTGGACTTTATCTCATTTAGTTCTCACAGCAACCCTGTGGGGTGAGTTGCACTCCAACTCCCTTGGGGACACGAAAACACAGGAACAGAGAGACAAAGTCTCACTTTCAAAGACTCATAATTAGATGTGATGTCAAGGTTTGAACCCATACCTGTCTATATGTCTTTAATGGCGTTGCTTTTTAGGAGACTGTCTGGAATGCTAAGGTGGGTCTCAATGGGCGTCTGTTGGCCACTGTGGCCATCATTCTCTTGTCCTTGCACTTTTGCCAGAGCCACTATGGGACACAGACTGAATTTTTATCCTCTGCATCTCTCCTTCAGCTCCAGCCCATGGAGTGGGGATGAGCAGAGCTCTGCCCGAAGAGAGGGAGGAAATAAGAAGTGGCTTCATGGTCCTGTTAAGGCTCCTGAAATAGCCCAGGTGAGGAGGCATCTCAGGGCTCTTTTCCTTGGCTTCTGCAAAATCTCCACAAGAGATGGAGAGGAATCTGAGTTGCACAGACTCTGAGGCCTGGTCTGGGCATCTTGAGAGGAAATGGAGAGAAAGAGGGAGAAGGCTACTTTTTAGGGGTGAGGTGACTTTCAGATCTGGCCTTGGAACCTCTTGATTTAGGCAAGTAGCCCTGGCTGATACAACCCTAGCTTTGGTGACGAGTAATGATCATTATCTGGGTTCCTTTTTTCCACATTATATTTCACAGAAATGAGCTAATTCTCACATGGTGCCCACATGACTCTTGGGTTTCTTCCTCTCGGAGGCCTTATTCTGCAGATGCTTTCGATACTGTTCTGAGAAAACTTGTGTGATTCCCTCCCAGCCCCTCGCATACTCCTAACCTTAGCCTGGAGATGCCCCTAATCTCTGTGGTTCCTGGGTACTCTGTTCTTGACCTTGTTATAGCACTTTTCACATGTGTTGGGGGTTTGGGGGTATCTATTCTGCAGTGCTGTTGTGAGATGATACGTGTAAAGTACTCAAGCTTGGCCTTGAGCGGCTGTTTCTGTTATTGTGTGCGCGTGTGTGCGTGCGCATGTGTGTTAGTCGCTCAGTTGTGTCCATTCCTTTGTGATCCCATAGACTGTAGTCTGGCAGGCTCCTCTGTCCGTGGAGTTCTCCAGGCAAGAATACTGGAGTGGGTTGCCGTTCCCTTCTCCAGGGAATCTTCCCCACCCAGGAATTGATCCCGGGTCTCCCTCATTGCAGGCAGATTTTTTACTGTCTGAGCCACCAGATTTTTGTTATTACTGTGGTTGTTTGTCTACTTGTCAATCACCCCTGTTGAAAGCTCAGAGGAAGGGGCTGTGTTCCTGTTCCCTAGCACAGTGCCGAGGGCATCGGTAGATACTCAATAAACTTGCCAGGAAAGGAAAACAAGTTGAATAAAATGAGTTAAAGGGTAGCAAAGGCAGGGCATGAGTATGCTTCTCTTAACCATTTAAACATATGTAAATAATAAGCGTATAATTCCTGATATTTTCAGTGAGAAAAATTCTTTATTTAAAATAGGCTAGATGTTTTTACTAGATTAAATAAAATACTCTACAAATGAGAATTTTAAATCCAGTAAACCAAACCCAGTAATACCAGTCAGGGATTATCGACCAGTCCCTGTTTAATAATGTTTGAATGAAATAACTTATAATTCTAAGAATATGTGCCTTTGCTTAAAGAAAAATTTCCAAAGTAGTATCACATTTCCTGGATATAACAGTGTTATGCTAGCAGGAGAAATTCTGTAATGCCAAGATAGCTAAGAAACAGTGATTTTCAAATGCAGAGACCCTTTGACTTGCTCTGATGTTATTAATAGTATTTCTAAATCACAGAGACAGGCGGCACATTTTATTTCAATAAGAGAATGAAAGCAAGAAGGGGACCTACACTATTTCTAGCCACTTGTATTTATTAATATGTGTTTAGCACTTTTAATGCCTTTGCTGCAGAAGGGTAATAAGTGTTTTCGCAAACAGATATGCTATGGGGACAAAGCTGGGGAGCTTGTGCATACAGAAAGTAGCCGATATCTCCAGACTCTCAGGGCTCTTGGAAATGCCACGCATCATGCTTGATTTGGGGCTGCTGGGCCTTGTTTCTTGGCATCAATGTGTGCTGAGTGTCAGGGGTTGCTGTGGAGTCCACAGTCGTTTCTTCCTGGAGACCCAGAGTTGTGGTCTCATCAGCACCGTAGGTCTCATAAACCTCAGCTAATCCAGGGGTCATCAGTGGGTCGGCAGCTGCTGGGGTGACTCCCCTAAGGAATCCCCTGATGCGCCCTGCAGGGCCCCTTGCCAGGTTGGGAATATTGCCCTCAGGATTAGCAAGGAGCCCTCCGAGGGTACCAGGTGCTAGCTCTGAAAGGAGAGCTGGGCTTTCTGGATCGGCTAGGTGGGCCTCCGGCACAGGGGAGTCTTGTGCACCTCCTTCTCCCTTCTCCGGGCCTTTGGTTGCAGCGACTGGGGAGTCAAACTCCAGAGTAAAGTCCCCACCCATGTCTGGGTTCTGGGGCATCCCTCCAAGGCTGGGCCTCATGCCTCCAAATCCTGGGAATATGGCTCCATAGGCCACGGGGCCTCCTCTTCCTCCCTGGAAAAAATCATTTACCAAAAACACTATGGTCACGTACTGTTAACTATTCCATGTAATTATATCTGGTCAAATTCACTGAGAAGCCACAAAAAAACTGATAGGGAACAGGGAATTGGCTGACAGCTTTGTGTAAGCACATTTCTCGCTAAATTGACTTCTGCATTTTTCTGAGTGGGGTGCTCACTTCTTTGAAAGGGAGATGAAGACCCTTTGAATGTTTGCTGAAAGGGAAGAAGAGAAGCAGGGAAGTAGGGAAGAACCACGTCTACAGGCAAAAGGTAGTTTGAATTTAGTTTTAAGAAAACAATAAGCAGCTGAAATGGGCAGTACCGTCGTAAAACAAACAAATCTGATCCATTCCTAAACTGGTTGAGCAGAGTTTTGGAGGACCTTGTCAATATCATTTCTCAGTATCTCTCAAATTAATGAAGCCCCATGTAATATTTTTTCTTTTATTTTTTCTTCCTTCCTTCTTTCATTCTTCTTCCCCTCCTTCCTTCTTTCCTCTGGAGAAATGGTAACATTTTCTTCCTGTGGACAGTTAAAATTCTAGAACTGACCATGTTTCCTTTTCTTCCTTTGTTGCAAAACACTTTAGAACCAAAATCTTGGGCTACTTACAATGGTTGTGCGTGGCCTTGTAACTTACATATCTGTATTCTCATTTTGACTCATTTTAAAATTCTATCTTCAGTTTTTTTGTGTGTGTGATATTTATTGTCTTTTTTATAAGCTACAGGAAAATCTTTTAAGATTGAGGCAGAATATAAATAAATTAATTAAAATTATAAAATGAAAATTGACACTTGAATTTTCAACCTGTTTTGTAGAGTCAGTTATGTATGTTGTGTTATGTAGAGTCCGTACTTTTCCCTCTTACCTTTTCCTGGCTCTCCACTCTCATATTTTCACATCATTTCCTCCAGAGATGGTACTGTGAACCCCTGGGCTGTGACCCTTATCACATAATTTTCACATTTTCTGCTCTGATATCTATTTTTCCCGCTGATTAGTCTGTAAACTCCTTGAGATCAGAAACCTTATTTTATTTAACTTATCTCCAGAAGATCTTTTTAAGTGTCTCACTCACAGAAGGCATTCAATAATTTGAGATTCGAGTTTTCTTTTAATGATAGCATGCTTATGTGTATTTATTAATTTGACATGATCTGTATTTATTAATTTGATATGATTTGATAATGATTTGTTACTTTGGTGTGGTTTTGTTTTGTGTTCTAACAGATATAACATAGAAATTTCTGAGAGAAAAAGTCCAATTGTGAGTCTGTTGATCTCAAATTTTAAAGTTGTAATATGCATGGATAATGATAACAGAGTAAGAATATACTTGACTTAAGTCATTAATGTACTTGGAATTTTACAATAATCAAATTTTAAATTTGGTTAATTTTTTTTTTTTGATCTCTCAATTTTGAGGTCTAAATGATTTGTTATTTTGTTGAGTTTGTTGTTTTGAGGGGTTAAATGGTCTGAGAAGTAAGGGGAACTTCATGCATCATGTGTTTCTTTTTTGGCTTGAAGCATTTGCTGTTCAATAATGATGGCTTTTCAAGAGATGTTGCTCCTGTGCTCCGTGCATTCAAGAAATGGGGCAAAATCCTATGTGCAAGAATGCTCATCACTCAGAAACAGTTATATGGGAAATGTGATGATTCTTTGCATGCTGCTTCAGAATCCAGCTTTTAGGTTTGGAGTGGAACAACCTGAGTCCCATGTTGTATATTCAGCTACACTCATGGCCAATGCCTCTTGAAGCCAGTCATCTGCGACTGTTCTCCCTTGGCCACTGTTTTAAGAAGAGTTTGAAGACATTACTCACCCCCATTTCTTCTGAGCTCATGATGCCAAGTCTGGCAGGAGCGTTCTGTTCAAAAAGAAACGCTGAATCATATTATGAACCAGCTGACTCCTATTATCTTTGTAGATACTCAAGAAAAAAGTCAATTGGTCTTTCCTTAAACTTTAATATTAATGCTGTGTCCAGAGGTGGAGTAAAGTGGAGAGACGAATCATTATTGAATAAAAGTAGCCAATTTGGATATTCTGATAGAAAATTTATTTACCTTTTCTTTAATGTCATTGTGTGTGTGTGTGTGTGTGTGTGTGTGTGTGTGTGTGTTTGTATGCTTGGCCAGAATCATCCAAATAGGAAGAGTGCCTCCTTGCCATTTCGGTTGCTAACTTCGGCAGTCAGAAAATATGGGATCTGTTGTTGGAGACCTGGATTTTATAATATTATCTCCTAAGGTAACACTAAATTAACTAAAATAGGATAAAGACTTACCAGTTGATTTGCTCCGTAGGTCACGTAAAATATTCCTGGGTAAAGCTAAATATAAATACAATAATCATCACATAATGCATTCCCAAGAGAAAAGTTTTTAAATAAATCACAAACAGAGAAGTGGTATTAAAAAAACTTACTGGAGATGGTTTATTTTGTGTCATTGGTCCCCGAGATATCAAATGGGCTATTGGAAATATCTTTAAATGGTAGAAAGAGAATAAGCAATTCATATTTGCTATAACACAGCAAACCTCCCATTATAGACATTTCTAAGAGTTATATGAAATACATTTTCAGATGAACTACTATGATAAATATTCAGTGTTTAATATTTAAGAAAACAAAGCAACCCATTATACTTCATATTTATGAATAAATGGGACAATTAAAATTTTTTACTCTTCTTCCTTAAAGTATAGAGATGTATTCCCCAAGAAAGTATCTTATTGAGATTTGTACTTACCGGTGGATCTTGTGGATCAGCAAAATCCATTCCTGGTAGCTGCATTACAGATAAATATTAAAATTACTGAGCAATCAGAATAGACAAAATGAACTTAAAGGGTTCTGATCCTTTTTACGACTACATAAATAAGCAATCTAAAATGAATTTCCATGTTTTTAGTTTTGTTTCAGCTTGGAGGATGCAACCTACAAGATACGGTTGCCCCTCAAGTGCGCAGCAAGGGGATGTGTCATGTCTGTCACGAGTTTGTTTGGTTTTGCAGCATAGAAACTAATGAATTTTGGGATCAGAGCCTGCCAGGTTGGTTTGAATCCTGGCCTTGTCACTTAATTTTTGTGTGATACTGGGAAAATTTTATAACCTCTCAGTGTCTGGGTTTTTTTCCCCTCTTTAAAAAAGGATGATAATACCTATCTTTATAGGATGGGAGTCAGGATGATATCAGAGAATGTTAAATGCCTGCAACATACTAGTTACATGGTAACTTCCTTTCTGTCCATTGCTCTTTTCTCTATATTATCACATGATACTTTGGCTTGATTGTCTTCTCTACCACCAGATAGGAGTATCTCACCCCATGAGACAGGGAAGCCCGGTGTGCACAGTTCATGGCGTCGCAAAGAGTCAGGCACGACTAAACTACTAAACTACAAAAACAGCTACCAGACAGAGAACTAGTAATGCAGCACTACTACTTGCAATGCTGACGGATCAATCACTTTTCTCAGTCTTCTAGCACTGAAAAAGAGGTTGATGATAGGAAGCCCAGACTTCTCTGGACAATCCTAGTTTCAGTGAAAGCTTTCACTTTTGCAACTAGGAGACCAGTTTTATAGGAACAGGATCTTTTAGAATCCGTAACCCCTATCTCAGATGGCAGAGGGTAGGAATGGATATCTGTGTTCTACTCCCAAATACGTCAATTGCTTGGATACATATTTGTATTTTCGTGCGTTATACCCAAAGCTCTGATTATTTAAATGTGCTCTGCCAGTTGGTTTTCTTTCACTAAGTTAATGGATGATCCTGACAGGACTTCAGAGAAAGGAGGTACCTCGGTCGTTGGTGGCTTTTCTGATGGCGCCACCTGCTGTTCAACCATTGGCCCCTCTGCTTGCTGCAAGGGCGGATGTCCCTGGTAAATCGGAGGCTGAGGTACGCCCTTCTGGACTCCGTTCTGGATGGAGGTGACAACGTTGGGCTGGAGGAAAGGTTTCTGTCCTGGCTGTTGAGGCTGCAGGGATGGCTGCGATGGGAGAGGTGGGGGATGCACAGGCAAAGAATATTCATACTGCAGAGAAATTTGAAAGGAGCGTCAGGAAGCGATGGCTCGCTGAACTGTGGGGTCTAGACTTTCTAAAGCGAAAGGTCTTGGGGAACTTTGTACTTGCAGGCGAGTCTGTGGGGCTTGCCGTGAAGTTGTGCTATATAGAAAGCTCCTGCTTGCTTGAAGGCAGTGTTATCTGGGGAAGAGTGGTAGGTGTCTACCGCCCCTGCTCCCGCTGGGACTGACGACCACTGCTCATGTAGGTGGGAAGCTATGTGACTTCTGCGTAGAAGGAGCCAGTTTCTCCTCTGGGTTCCTGCAACTGCCTCTGTGTATTTCTGTGTTACCACCTTCTCAGTGGATTACAATGATTTATGCCATGTCTTTATCCCTTATTCAACTACTATAGAATACTCTGTCTTATTTATCTTCATAGTCCCAGGACTTAACTAGCTTCTAAGTTCCTGGCACATGATAGATGATAAATTTTTTTGGAAAGAGAAAGGATAACCAAATAAAATACCAATCGAATTCTTGCATCATGAATTCAATTTGGAAATAATCATGTGGAGAAAGAATCACCCTTAACATAATTTACTGTCCCACTAAATGTAGCTTGGTCAGTAATGATGTTTATTGTGGAAAATCATCTGAAATCAAAGCTTCCTGTTCAGGCAACCATGGTTGGTTGCTCCTCTTTGAAATGACCTGTTGTGAATAAATCCCTATGATTTTTAAATTGGTTGCAACCACTTCAAAGTGGCTTAGAAGTTTCACCACAGTGTGAACTCTGCTTTACCTCTTCAAGCATTTCCCATCTCGAAACTTCCAGGCTTTCATTAGTACTTACACTTCATTCATTACTTGTGCCTCACAGCTCAGCACCTTGTAATGTGGTTGTTTTGTCTTTTCTCCTAATCTGATGTGAAATTTCATAAACTTTACAGCCATTCTTAAATGACTTCACTTTCATTCCCAATCTATGGAGTGAAAGCCAATCTATCATTTGGCTTATGTATTTACTAGGCACCAAATAATAATAAACTGATTAATATATTTATTAATTGCTATAGGGTTCGTGGTGTTTTAACTAGGACTTTGGCATCATTTTAAATGTGTCTTTTAGTTTTTAGGGAATCTTGACTAAAATTAGATTTTTCCAGGATATAGCTGGCTTTCATTTTGAGTCTGGTTTATTTACTTTTACTGTTCATATCTTTAACATAGGTCTCTTTTATTTTGGAAGTCATATCTTCCTATTTGAAATAGATATACAAAATGGGTTGAAATTCTGGACCATTTCATTTTAAATTTTCCTAAGTGCTAAAAACAGTTATAGATTTTGATTTATTTTATTTGTTTTTTTTTATTCATTACTATTACCTGTCTGGGGTTAGTATAGGACAACTTAGAGAAAGCAAGCAGAGGAATATGTTAAAGATTGAAGTTTCAGACACGTTGATGCAACTAACTTACCTGTTGAGTTTCATGTTCCCTTGGTCTCATCCATGGGAAGGAGGAATGTGGTGGGAGAAGACCATTCATCCACAAAGAATTAAATGATTTCCCAAAGCCAAATCTTGAATACTAAAGACATGGAGAAAAAAAAAAGTATGATTATATTTCACTGTTGTCTTGGTTTTCATTTTCTAAAAAAAAAATCACAGAAAGTGCAGAAATAGCAAAAGTAAGAGTGATATTCATTAATGTGGATAGGTAAGTCTTCCAGTAGATTTGCTTTCCATTCTGAGCCAGTCTGCAATATTTCCATAAACTTGCTTGAGATTTTGCTTTTTTAAAAGCATTCATATTTTGGGCTGTATAATGAAATTGATAATACAAAAAAGAATTTTTTTTGTACTAAAGAAAAATCAACATTATTTTTATTTTTCCCTACTATCCATACCTATCCTAGGTCCTATATCCCTATCCTATATCCCTACCATCCTAGGTCCTTATTTTGTTTTAGGTTATTTCAGTTACTCTTTGCTCTTTTAGTAGTTAGGATATTTTTTATTCACAAACAAATTTTATGAATTACCATGCTGCTGCTAATATCACTACCACAAATACCATGAATATTTGCAATGAGAAATATTTGAAAATATGATTACCTGAGAAAGCATGTTTAATCCCTGCAGACTTCCCAACTGTCTCATTGTCTATCAAGAAAAGGAAAAGTCAGTTAGTGTTTGCCACATATGTTCCTTTTGTGTATGACACAACTGATTTTTCAACGTATCATAATATTAAGACAAAGTTTGGGGTGGGTCAATTTGAATAAGATAGGAGACACAAATCATCACTAAAAAGTGGAAATGTTAAATATGATTCTGCCATTGTTGTTATTATTGCTATTAAAATAGTGAGCTTACTTTTTATCATTAATTAAAAGAGAGATAATATCCTTTAAGTGGAAGTCATATTGAAACATGGGAAAATAGCCCATTCAATTGAAATATCAATGTAATCATGAAGACATTGTCTCATTGACTCTTTTCCTCCCATTTAATTTACTTTGCCTTTTACAAATCCAGCCCAAAGAGAAATTTGGAAAAAAAAAACCACACACACAGGCAAACAAACTAAAGCAAATCAAAACAAAACAACCCTACCTATTTCCCAAGTTAAAAAAAAAGCCCTCAAAATAATAAATATAAAAAATACTCGGGAAAATGGTAAGTATCTAGATAGATGGTCAAGAATGCTGCCAATTCTACAGAAAGTCAGTTTCATTTTTTCCTGGGGAGAGGTTTAGAAGGCTTTGAGTTGAGGTTAAGCTAGAAAGTAAGAAAAAAAGTAACTCAGTGAAACTAGCTTCCATGTGAAAAAATCTTAAAGCACATACAAGTATTGATTACCCTCTGACTGTCATGATATAAATCAATTTTGTAAGACCTTGTGAAAAATTTGTAATCTCATAAACACTTTTCTATTCTTAACTGTGTATGTTTTCTACTGATACCTGAAACATTTCTATTTTGTTGGGATTTTCTAAGCAGAGTATATATTAGTTATAAGAACTGCAATAAGACAGAGTCTATGCAGGAGGTAGCATCTTACAGTGTTAATGTGGTTTACAGTCCTCATAAACAATTAAATTTTGTAAGATAAACTTTCCTCATGGGAACTCTGTCATACACTGTAATGAGAAGGAACTAAGTATAAACTATTTGTGAATTCAGAACAATGTGTTTTAATTAATGTATTAGTATTAAATATTAGTATTGCTTTGATTTGCATACAGATGGTGTTCTAAAGACCAAAACACCTGAAAATTTAAAACTGCAGTAAAATTATAAGGTGAGGCTCTTATAAATGTAATAAACTTCTCTAGAACTTCACAGGACAACCACTGACTTCTGGCTCAGAAAACTAAGAAACAGCCCTCTCTTATCAGAAACAAACCAATGTAATGATTATATGTAAATAATCTGACAATACATACCTCAAGGCTCAAACTAGCCATGCCTGGTATCCCAGGTTGTTGAGGAAACGCCTAAATGGAAATAAGAATAATTGGTGTTCTCTTTCAAGAGAAACTCCCCCGCACCCTGTTTTGTTTTTTTTTTTTTAAATGATGAGAAACTTCCTTACACACTGAACACAGAAAAACACACGAGTATGTAGTTTTCCTTTGTGTGCAAGAATTTCAGGAACATTTTTCTGAGCATATGTTATCCACTTCTTACTTTCTAACACAGGGAAAATCCCGCCATCTGAATCATGGTGCAAATTTCTCCAAATAATTCAGTTTTGCAAATGGATAGAAGGAAAAGAGCTATAAATGTGTAGCAAATACTCCAAGAAGAGAAAAAATTTAGCTGTGTAGGCAAAAAGAGTGATATGTGTGTGTGGTGAGCAAATTGTTCAGAATTTTAGGGAAAGTGAGAGTTGACCCTTCTTTCTTCCTATTGGCCAGTGTGAAAATAAGGTAACAGGAACATATTCAACTACAGGACAAAGAACACTTTGCTTCTATTTATCCAAGTCATGCATTAATGAACAATATTTACATGAATGTAGATAGAGGATATCTTCCCCAGTGGGAAGTAAAAGGAGGACATCTGATTGGGCGGGCAGTCAGTTGACAATCCTAAGCAATTGTTCTCTTTCTCAAAGTGGACCTGATTGACACAGTTGTGGACAGTTAGAGACAAGAGTGTCAGGGTGTTAGATTGACGGTTGGTGGCTGAAGTGACCCCAATGTCAGTATCATACAAAGGTCAGCTAAGGTGGCAGCTTCAGTTTTTCTCTCATTTAAAATTCACATTGAGCAATGGAATAGAAACTTTTTATCTGTAGAATGGAGGTTTTCATCCTAGTAGTCAGTTTTCACTGCCACCCCTCTCCTTTCCAAAATATTTTAAGACACCCAAAGAACTTTTGTCTCAATGAACTTAAATATTTAAAGTTCATTTTGAGGCCATTTACAAGTTCTCAAAATAAGAGACCACGTCACATTTATCTTCATGTCTCCAATTCCAGCATGTTGCTGGATTCATGGAAGGTGCTTAGTCAATATTTTCCAAATTCATGTAGGAGCTGAATAAAATCTTCACGTAAACTGAATCACATACTATTGATGGGAGTAGTTCAGTGCTCAAAGGATGGTATTCATATTAAAACATCTCAGTATATGAGAGAATGTGCCAGGGGTAGGACTGAAACACACAATTAGCCCCATTGCCATGGCATGTTTTAATTTAAGAAACGTAAGCTTTCGGTCACCCAATATCTCCCTATAAAGCAATCCTGTTGGTAATTGCTAGCTTCAAATGGGATTATTTAGCTCAGTTTTGTAACCATAGGAATTTGGCTAATATTGTTCTTTTAAAAGTGAAGAAGAAAATGTACCTTTTTTGGAGAAATTTCTTCTTTCCATTTCACTTTCATAATGATAGCAGGTAGTTGATAATAAATCTGTGCTGTGACATCATTGGAGACCACATACATCTTATAACTCTGAGTTGAATAAGACCGAACTCTGAGTTGAATAATAGGAGTTGTCTTTGCAATATTTAAAATATCTTTGTGAATAGGAAAATTACATATTTGGCTATTGCTTTTGGATGGTAAAGCTTTCCCCTGTGGCAGAGTGGTAGAGCCTGCGTGCAATGCAGGAGACCCAGGTTCTATCCCTGGGTTGGAAAGATCCCCTGGAGAAGGGAATGGTAACCCACTCAAGTGTTCTTTCCTGGAGAATTCCATGGACAAAGGAACCTTGCAGGCTATAGTCCATGGGGTTGCAAAGAATCAGATAGGCTGAGAAACTAAAACTTTCACTTTTACTTTCTTTTTGGATGGTAAAGGCTGACATCTAGGCACTGGATTAGTCCCAATGAGTCCCTTTGTGGACACTCAGCTAGGTCCTTCAGTGTTGTCTGCTGTCTGGTGATGTCTCTACTAGGGTACCCCCAGAGGACTGACTTACCGGCACTGCAGAACTCATTTTCAGGAGGCACAGGATCAGTATCACATCCTTCATTTTGAAAAGTGGGATCTGAAACAGAGTTGGATTGGAGAATCAAATCAGATGAATTTTTAATCTCAGAATGGTTTAAAGACAATATTTCCATTAGCCAAATCTCTGCTTATCCAAACGACTAGGTTCAAAAACAAAACAACTAAATATTGCTAAATAGCTAATTTTTAGAATGAATTGGTGAAGAATTTAAAAATTTCTGAGTGCCTTTTTTTTTTTTTTTAGCAAAGCTACCACCTAAATGAACATTGGGGGCACTTCCATGAATATTCTATAATTTCATTTCATAAAATATATTATGAATTAAAAAATCCCTTCCACTATGTGAAATGTTCATCTATAAAGTTTGAGTTACAGAATTTTATACTTTGTTTCCTTCCAGAGTAAATTTTGAAATGCATTCAAACAACAGTCATTTCATAACAAGCCTTTATGTGCGGGTATAAAGGGTATACCATTCTATGTTTAGCTTATCCAGGAAACCATGCCAAAAATGATCTTTTAAAAATAAAAATGAACTAAATACTTTAATTTCCTTTGATATTAGTGTAAAATATGTCTCTAAATAGAGTTTTCCTCTTTCTAAAATGAATTCTCTCTCATTTATTCTGTGAATTCAAATGGCACTTTACATTTACACAAACAGAAATCTGACTAGTCAAGAGATTTGCTCAACTTCTATACTTTTCCAAATTAGATACTGTTACTAATAATCACAAATAACAAAAAAGTCAAAAGATAAGTCTTTTCCCTTAGCTGAAAGGGTATTAGGCATGTCTTCTTGGGAACATGCTAATAATAGTTCACCATAAGCTACTATTCAGTTTATGGTGACAAATGAAGACAAAAGCTGCCTGGAGATAGGAGAAAAGAACTTACAGGAATCACATGGAAATCATAAAATCACATTTTACCTTCAATGCTGGCATGCACTGTGCTCTCAGGGCCTTGCGATGCCAACCAAGATAGTTCTAAGAAAAGAAGATTAAAATTTTTTTCTGGACTGTGCCTGGGACTCACTCTGTATCTCTCATTCAGGGAAGACCTGAAACCTTTATTTAAAGTGCCAATCCACCAATCAAAGTGAAGCTCAATGGGAGGAAAAAAAAAACTGTAACAGCTCCACTCCTGCAATTAACCCACACCCTTTTATTTCATGCAAGGAGACTGGTCCAGTGGAGTCTCATTATTTTTAATTGTAACTCAACCCCTGTATTTATTCAGAGAATTCGATTGCAGGGAAGACAGTGAAGGAATAATGAACATAAACTCTGAAGACAATCATTTTGGTGAGCTGGGGGAAATATATATAAAATAGGGGTTAAATAAACCATTATCTGTTTTGTGTAGGTTTTTAATCTTCAGGTGAAGCTAGTGACCCAGTGCCAGTATTCTCAAGAGTTTCACCTTCATATTTGTTGTGATAAAAGTAACTCCTTTCCTTTCCCCTCAACATATACACACCCTAGAAGGAAACACTGAAATAACTTTCTGGGCCTGGAAGAGAGGATAAAAACACTAGATGGATAATGAATGTTATGATTTTTTTCCTCAGAGGTTCCTAGATATTTTCATATCTGAAGACAATAGACTAGAGACAGCCAAACTTTTGCAAAAAATTCAGCTGGACCCTCTGAAATAATCATCTCAGGTGAACCTTCAGTGCCTGGACATTGCAGGCAGAGGGACATAAATCAGGATATTCTCATGAACCAATGGACTCCATGGGCACTACTCTCAGTTCATTCTTTAGATAGAACCATTTTCAGGCATTTAGTATTAAACCAGGTTAGTAAGTCATATCTGTATCACTTAATCAGCCAACATCAACATGAATGGGATTTTCTCTGTGAATAGATAAGAATGTCTTGGATATGGATTGAACTTTAGCTGCTTTTGCTATTTCTCTGCCCCTCCTTGGCTTTCCAAGAGTATGATTTCAGATGTGGTAGAGATAAGCATTTAGGACTACTTTCTTGAGAAAGGATGAGTAAGCACACTCTTCAAGGAAGCAGAGATCTTGCCAATTACAGGGAACATTGAGGAAGCTGGTATTTGGGGAGAAAGATTTCTTCATACCCAAGCTAGGTCTAATGGTATCAAATAATGTTATCTAAGAAGCTGTGCCTAAAAAAATTCATTGGCCATTGATGAGAGATTTTAGGAGGCAAAGAAGAATCTGAATATATTTTATAAAGAGCAGAATGTTCTTGAAGTGAACGTTTTTTTATTTTTGTCTCTGTTACTCTTGTTATTCCAGCTCTGGTGCTTGATCAAGACTCTTAATCTCTCTGAGCTCCACTTTCTTCCTCTGTTGTTCAGTCGCTCAGTCATGTCCGATTCTCTGCAACTCCATGGACTGCAGTATGCCAGGCTTTCCTGTCCTTCACTATCTCCTGGAATTTGCTCAAACTCGTGTCCTTTGAGTCAATGATGCCATCTGAGCATCTCATCCTCAGTCTCCCCCTTCTCCTCCTGCCCTCAATCTTTCCCAGCATCAGAATTTTTTTCCCAGTGAGTGGACTCTTTGCACCAGGTGGCCAAAGTATTGGATCTTTAGCTTCAGCATAAGTCCTTCCAATGAATATTCAGGACTGATTTTCTTTAGGATTGACTGGTTTGATCTCCTTGCAGTCCAAGGGATCTCAAGAGTCTTCTCCAGCACCACAGTTTGAAAGCATTAATTCTTTGGTGCTCGGCCTTCTTTATGGTCCACTTTTCACGTCTGTACATGACTACTGTAAAAACCATAGTTTTGACCATACGAACCTTTGTTGGCAAAGTGATATCTCTGCTTTTTAATATGCTGTCTAGCTTTGTCATAGCTTTTCTTCAAAGGAGGAAGCATATTTTAATTTCATAACTACAGTCACTGTCTGCAGTGATTTTGGAGCCCAAAAAATAGTCTGTCACTGTTTCCATTTTTTCCCCATCTATTTGCCATGAAGTGATGGGACCAGATGCCATGATCTTAGTTTTTTTGAATGTTGAGTTTTAAGCCAGCTTTTTCACTTTACTCTTTCACCCTCATCAACAGGCTTTTTAGTTCCCCTTTGCTTTTTTCCTCTCTAATGTAGGGATAATATTTATCCCTACATAATGTAGGGATAACCTACCATAGGCTTATTTCGAAGCTTTGGCAATAAGATCAAGATACAGCAGCTGTCTGGGCTTCCCTGATAGCTCAGTTGGTAAAGAATCTGTCTGCAATGGAGGAGACTCTGGTTATATTCCTGGGTTAGGAAGATTCCCTGGAGAAGGGATAAGCTACCCACTCCAGTATTCTTGGGCTTCCCTTGTGGCTCAGCTGGTAAAGAATCCACCTGCAATGAGGGAGACCTGGGTTCAATCCCTCGGTTGGGAAGATCCCCTGGAGAAGGGAAAGGCTACCCACTCCAGTATTCTGCCCTGGAGAATTCCATGTACTGTCTAGTCCATGGGATCACAAAGAGTCGGACAAGACTGAGTGACTTTCACTTTCTTTTACAGCAGCTGCCTATAGTGGGTGCTCAATAAATGGGTTGATTGTCCTTCATGTGGAAGAAACTACAATGAAACATAGGACCATGAAGATATCATGTGTGTGTGTATGTGTGTGTGTGTGTGTGTCTTGTCTGTGTGTATTAGAGATGGAGAAGTATTGGTGGTTAGGTCCATGAGCTTCAAGGATGTAGAGAAGGGACCTGATGGAAGGCATTTCCTCTGTATGGAAGTTGATGCTGAATCTATGGGACTAAGCATCCTAATTGACAGCTAAACATGGAAATTGTGTCTTTTACAGTTTATGAGCATGATCATCATTTTGGTAGGACTCATATGTTTTCTCTTACTCTTAAGCCAAATATCCAATATAGGTAATATAGGTAATGTTGCTTTTACCTTTTAAAAAAATGTATTTCATATTCAGTCCTAGGGTTATTGTCTCCCAGATGTTTGCCTTTTAGTTTTTTTTCCCTTCAGTTTCCTGTATACCAACATCAAGTTTATCTTCCTAAAATATTGGCTTCAGCATTTCCCTGTCTCACTCAAAAACTTTTTAAGGATCCCTAAGGCTACAATGTAAAATTCACCCTCTGTACCTAGACAGTCAAATTAACATTTTAGTTCACCTTTCCAGTCATATCTCCCACTATGGGTATAGTAATAATGATTGTTGTAATCAGTTGAAGTTAGTCTCATTTGTCTCTAGTAGTTTTTTTATTTTTGGCTTATGTTACTGGGAAAGTTAGTACATATAATGCTAGTTCGTGCTATGCAAAATGTTTTAACCACAAAACATCTGGAAATTAGTGTGAGTATGTGAATACATATCTGATAGTGATTATAGGTGTTAAGGAGGTTACTGCAGCTGATGGAAACTATGTAATGTTGGTCAAGACAGTACCTATATAAAGAACAACCAGAGCCCCAGTTACAAAAACTATGTCCAAAGCCCAGCAAAAATAAAAAGCCTCAGGATAACAGAAAATCTGAGCACCTGAGGGGACGCATGCCACAGAAAAAGTTATAAAGAAAAATCTAGAGAAAGAAGATCCCATGGATGATGTTATTATAGCAGCTGAGAGAAGAGCTGTTTAAATCCCCTCTGTGACAATGATCATGTGACATTGGGTGAGCTACTCAACTTGAATATATTTAATATTTTCATATAATAATTGAATCTGCGAAATATGGTCTACCATAGAACAGCATGAATTTCTTTTAATTTGAATAGAACACTGAAACAGAATATAGTGCTCAGTGTGTGTGCTTGCTCAGTTGTGTCCGACTCTGTGACCCCATAGACTATAATCCATCAGGTTCTTCTGTCTATGGAATTTTCCAGACAAGAATACTAGAGTGGACTGTCATTTCCTATTCCAGGGGATCTTCCCAACCTAGGGATCTAGAGATCGAACACACATCTCTTGCATCTCCTGAACTGGCAGGCAGATTCTTCACCACTGCGCCACCTGGGAAACCCCTTTAGTGCTCAGCATACCATCTGATATGAAGGAAATGTTCAATGATCATGAGTTCTTCTTCTTGAAGTAAAGGAACATATATGCTGAAAATATGCTTCATATTGAACTCTGGGCCTTGGCTGTGGTTATTCCAGTCACCCGTGGAAACTCTAGCAACTAATTAAAATGTATAGAAATGATTTTGTGTGAACATTCCATATGACAAAATATGGAATTTGATTTTTTTCTTTGTTTTGACACATTGTCCTTTCAACTGTCTATTCCAACCAGAATTGTTTAGTCACTGTCTCCAGAATATGCCATGGTTTTTCTCTTCCTGGGTTTTGAGTGAACCTTTCTCTCTGCCTAGATTCTTTTCTCACCTCTTCACAACTTGTTTTTCAAGTTCTACTCAATTTTTACTTCTTCAGTGATTCCTTCCCCCACCATTCCATTCCTCTGTGATATTCCCTTCTCTGAATTCTAAATAATTGTCAGTCATTTGTCAGTAGTTCATACACTACATGGTGACTGTTTATCATAGATCCTTCACATTTTACTTTGCAAATATGGTCCTTGAAATTTTCGGATATGGTTTTCATGTCTTTCAACCATAAAAACATTCCTGTGAGAATAGAAATCACCCATTCCACTATGTTGCATCTTTTGGTTCTATGGTCATCTTGAAAGTGAAAGTTAAAAGTCCCTCAGTCATGTCCGACTCTTTGTGACCCCATGGACTATACAGTCTTGGAATTCTCCAGGCCAGAATACTGGAGTGGGTAGCCTTTCCCTTCTCCGGGGGATCTTCCCAGCCAAGGGATTGAACCCAGGTCTCCCTCATTGCAGGTGGATTCTTTACCAGCTGAGCCACAAGGGAAGCCCAAGAATACTGGGATGGGTAGCTTATCCCTTCTGCAGTGGATCTTCCTGACCGAGGAACCAAACCGGGGTCTCCTGCATTGCAGGCAGATTCTCTACCAACTGAGCTATCA